CTCAAAAGAGACTTTAAGAAGAACTTCTCACAGCCCAAAATATTGACATATCACTGCCTGCCCATGGGGATTCAGTGCCTTTTTCTTTAGGTGGCCACACTGGGTTGCTAGGACCACAATCTAACCTGTTTGGTGTCCCAGCTTCACTTCATCTTTTGTGCCTTTTGAAGCTGCATCAGATGTTCTGATGGTCTGTTTGGGATCCACCTGGTTGCAGTTGAGCAGAGAGCTCTGAGGATGCCTGCAGAGGAGATCAAGCAGGATCAGCAAGGCCCTGTCCTCAAAGGGGAGGCTGCTGAGACCTATTGGAGAGGTCATGGAGCCATGAGTAGGACAAGGACGAAGAACCAGTTAGATCTTCATTCCTCTCCTTCATTCGTGCACTGTGATGCTTCAAGCCTCCTGCCTATTCTGCTTGGGGTGACTGTGGTTTCTGACGTTTCTTTTGTAGGCACTTCGGAAGTAGATTTCCTTCTGACCACAGCTGGTTTTTGAATGGAAGAGGGATAATTCCAAGAGTGTAAATTCTATCAGGCAGGGACCATCCTGTCACTGTCCTTGCATGAAAGGATTAGCCTGTGCCTGGACCTTGTACAAGCAACCACAATGTAAATCATGAGAATAATCCTACTAATGCTGAGAACTTGGTGTCTGCCAAAGAATGAAGAACTTGACAATGGCTTTGTGGGGGATAAATATGAAACTTGTCTAAATATGTACATAACAATGAACTGGAACGTGTCTGTGCTGGGACATACAACAGTTTGGAAAACAGTATTATCTATAAAAGTATTTATAACATTTATTTCTTTAACACATTGACTTGTCAGCTTCTGTTTCAGAGAATTAGGTCAATAACATTCAGACTTGAATTTTATGCCCCAGTTCAAGTGAATACACTAAATCCAAGGGGGAAAAAATAAAGACTAAAGAATTGTGTGCTTAAAACAGGAAGAGAAATGAGAAGTTTGGATGTGGGAAAGCAGCTGGGAGCAGCTTCTGTTTGCCTTTCTCCTCTCATCCCCTATTCTCCAGTATCTAAGTTTCTCAAGGGGGTAAAGCCCTTTGGCTCTGGTCCATTTGTGTCCAGCATGGAGGTGGCAATCCAGAGCTGATCTCCACCCTTCACATTGTATTACAGCCACTACTGTTATCACTGCTGGGAGTGATGATAAATCAACAAAGGGGCACTGAGAGAAGGTGACTCCCAAAACTGTGGAGGCTGGAGAGGTGGGACCATGTGAACCTCATGAGAGTCAACAAGGCCAAGGGCAAGGTCCTGCTCCTGGGTCGAGGCAATCCCAGCACAAACACAGGCTGGGGGAGACTGGTCTGAGGAGAAGGTCTTGGGGGTGAGGAGAAGCTCCCCATGACCCGGCTTCAGTGTGTGCTTGAGCCCAGAACCTCCCCGTGTGCTGGGCTGCACCCCCAGAGCATGAACAGCAGATCAAGGGAGGGCATTCTCCCCCTCTACTCTGATTTGTTAAGACCATACATGGAGTACTGCGTTCAGCTCTGAACTAGATAAGCTTTAAGGTCCCTTCCAACCCAAACCATTCTAGGATTCTATGATTTGAAAAACATTATATTTGAAAGGTAAAAAGGAATGGAAGATTAGCCATGATAGTCAGGCTAAATTCTTTCTTGGTGTGCAGCAAATGCTGGTGTAGTGATAGGTACCTGAGGATAGTGAGAAGATAAGAAGCCAAGGGATGTAGGGACAGGCCAAGGGGAATGGCTGGAACCTGCCAGAGGGGAGATTGAGATGAGCTCTGAGGCAGAAGCTCTTCCCAGCCTGCCCAGTCTGTGAACATTTCACTGTAAAGCAAAGCCACCAGCAGTTTGCTTTAGCTCTGCTCTGGAATTGCACCAGTGCCGCTGGGCTGGTGGCTCTGCAGACCAGGAGCCACTCCTAAATCAAACAGCCATGAGCTATGCAAACACCATCCACATTCCTACCTGCTGCCTTCCAGCCGTTTGTCAGCTCCACCTTTAAGCACCTTTAAGGCTGGTGGCTTCTACTCAGATCTGATCTGGCTTTGGACAGGCCCCAGGACACCATCAGAAGACAAGAGAGCAAAATGCCTCCTGGCCAAGCAAGTACATGCACCATCCCAAATGAATAAATGGGGGGAGCAGGCTTAACCACTCATATTGCCATCAGTTAAAACAACCCAAGAAGCTCATCAGTGCCCATATTCCCCAAAAACCAAATTATCCTCCTTATCCTCATGTCCGTTGACTTCCTTCCTGTGTTTATATCATGTTCAGCTTAGATTGTAGGCTTTCCTGGAGCAAGAAGCCAAACTAGATACAACAGCACACTCTTCTTTCCCATCTTTGTCTGTGTTCTTTCCCTTCCTGAGCTGTCTCCCAACTCTTGATGTGCCACATGGATTTTGTGAGGCAGAGCTGAGTGTATGAGTGTCGCTATTCCCAGGCCCCTGTCACTCAGCAGTCCTCCCGATGGTGGTGGTATGGGTCCATTCTGCTGGTGACTCTCTCTTGAGGGACTTTGGGTTGTCCAAGTTCAGTCTAAATTCAGGCTGACGCTGTCTCTAGCCAGAAAAAGGATGATCTGAAGAAATGAGGATCGTTTCAGTGTAGTCTATGAAGGTTGGCTGCTCAACCAGTGGGTTTATGCTTGATCTTGCTGTTGAGACTAGAATCCACTTCTCCCATGCTGGTGGTAGGAGAGGAGAGGCTGGGCTAGTCATGGAAAAGCAAGGCTGAGAGGGAAGACCATTCGCTGCCAGTGAGATGGACAGAAATAAGGAGGGAAGGAGAAGTCAGACTTTGGCTGTGTATCTCTGGGTGTGGTGGAGGATGCTGTGAAGCCAGCATGCATTTCACTGTGAAATGGTGCAATAAAAATCTCTCTCTTTTATTCTCTGTGATATCAGAATTTCACTGAAATAAAAGCGAGGGATGGAGTCCCTGCTTTGCTTTGCTTTACAGTGCTATGGGGCTTCAAAGTGCTGCTGAACAACCAGGGCCCCACTAAAAGGGGTTAACAGGAACATAAACCCATGATCAAGGTGCGAGGTGCCTCCAGATGATGGGAACAAACAAAGGAACCATCTGCAGAACATTTGCTCATTTTAGACTGACTCTTTTAGAGCTGATGTGTGTCTGATTCCAGTCTGAAGGATGTTACTTCACTCTTGTGATAGGGCAGATTCAGACAGCTGACTTTGCTTTCAAACGGCCTGAAGAGGCAAGGGGACACCTCCCTCTAGTGCCCAGCTCTGTAGGACATCCCCATGGTGGTGTGTCTGAGAGGGAAGGAGTCACTTGGAGGTGGGACCCAGCCTGTGCTGAGGGCTCCAACCTCCCTTCAAAGGGTTTATAGCCCCTGACCACCCATCCAGCGAGAGCTTTGCCCCTGCTCCCCACAGCTCACAGGGATTGAAGGTGAATGAAGCCCTCCCCAGCTGAGCATCCCCACCTTCTCCTCTGCCCCCAGCTCTGGAGGGCCATATCCAAGCAAGGAGGAGGCAGAATTTGCCCCTCTGGTGTTGCTGGGGCTCTTTGGGATTGTGGCAAGTTGTCCACAGGGGCTGTGTGTGGTTAGGTGGAGATGGGTTGGATGAGCATGGGCCAAGGGAAGGGATGTGAAGGCACAGATTGGGCTGGGGAGCTGGGAAATTGCAGGTCCAGGAGAGAAGGAAAAGGGAACAAAGAATGCTGAGGATCAGGTTGGGATCCCAGCACAAGGATGATGGCAGGATTCCACCAAACATGAGAGCCAGAAGCCCAGAGAACATCCCTCCCAACACAAACCCAATTCCCACTCCCTGCTGGAGAAACCCAGCTCACCTCCCTGCACTGGAGCATGGTGGCCAAAGTCCCTTCATCCTCATGGGCTGGGGGACAGTAGCTCTACAGAAGTCACAGCTGGTAGGAAACACACACGACACATTTGTACAAGCCTTTGCCTTTTATTTACATAATCAAAGAGACCGGTTGGGGAGGGTTAGACAGAGAAAAAAAGCATCACTTCTAAGTTACAGATGCCTCCAACAAAGCAGTAACACAAACACTCATATCTGCCCTGGAGAATTCCCCCTGGAACACGGGTGAAGGAAGCAGCAAGGTTGCCAGCGGGATCGGCCATAGGGCAAGTTGGATGGTACAAGCAGCACCCGGAGGGCAGATGACCAAAGCTCTGCATTGCTCATGAAGGATGTTCCTCATGGGACTTGGCACAGGAGAGAAAGTGCCACTGGGCTGCAGACAACAGATCACCCTGTGGGGATAAGGAACATGGTTTGACCGGGACATCTTCATTCCTGATGGAAATCCAAAAGAAGGGTTATCCTTGTAAAGTCCCTGTTAATGTTCCATGTCTATGCTCTCCATCAAACTACAAGGACCTTGGCCATGAGTCCTGTCTCTGATGGGGCACCGCGATGCCTCCCCAAGGGGTCTTAGGGGTGAAAGCCCCACCAGCACAGAGAATGGGTTTGCTATGGGAAGACAGAAGTGTCAGAGCTGTTTGCAGGTTGCGTGCCAAATTTAGACATTTGAAGACCTGGAAGTGCCAAATTCCTCCCTAAAAATGACTCTGTTGCATTTTCCATGAGAGAAAAAATACAAGCTGGGTTCTAAACTCAAGGCAGCTCCTTGAGTCCAGAGCTCAGGGTCCTTCAACTACCCATCCCTTTTGTACTTGGGATCTTTTGTGTTAACCAGCAGCAGTCAGACATTGCCTGTGCTGCAAGCTGGGGACTCTTGGGGACAACCTGGAGCTCACAAAGTGGCCTTTGTTCAGTGGCACATCTTGCACAACTGGGCACTTGAGAAAGACAAATCCAAGAGGGTGTAAGTATTGAGCAACGAAGTGCAGACTCAACTGCTGGGGTTTGGGGGGTGTGATGCAAACACTGGAAAGCCACCCAGCTGATGGGGCAATAGGACAAAGTATGTTACCCCTCAGCCACCTCCCCCTTGGCACCGCATCTCCCCGAGCTCTTACCTCACAGTGTGGGGGTGCAGGCTCAAGAGCTGGACTGATCATCACCGAGGTTGATCTCCTCCAGGATCTGGCTGTACCTCCTCGTGAGGGCTTTGGTGTTTTTGGTCAGGTCTGTCAGAACCTGCTGCAACCCATTAACGTGATGGGAGAGCCGCTCCTCCAGGTTATTATCTACACCCTCATCGAGGGATGTATCTGCATCAGTGCTGGTCGGGTTCTGGTCGCTCACAGAGGCCGCCCCCTTCGCCACCACGGGCTTGATGGACTTGAGGATCTGGTAGCGCTCGTAGAGGTCCGTGTGGCCGTTGGCGTCCGGAGCCGCCCCGTCCTGCTGCTGCGGGAAGACCCCTCGGAGCAGGCTGGGGAACATCACCTCCTGCTCCATCTTCTGCGTGGCTGAGAAGTACTGCTCCATGGCCCCGCTCCCGGCTGCGGCAGCGCTGCTCCGGGCTCTGCTCCGCGCTC